TCTACTGCTGCTGCCATGCTCCTACTGCTGCTGCCACGCTCCTACTGCTGCCATGCTTCTACTGCTGCTGCCATGCTCCTACTGCTGCTGCCACGCTCCTACTGCTGCCATGCTTCTACTGCTGCTGCCACGCTGCTACTGCTGCTGCGCTCCTACTGCTGCCACGCTCCTACTACTGCCACGCTCCTACTGCTGCCATGCTACTACTGCTGCCGCGCTCCTACTGCTGCCATGCTCCTACTGCTGCCACGCTTACTGCTACAGCACTTCTACTGCCACACTCATACAGCTGCATACGTAGAACTGAGGTTCTACCACTGTATATACTTACTACCACACTTACCATACTGGGGCTCTTACCTTTCCAGGCTTCAACAGTGTGCTCCTTCTCATCAACAGAGTGGTCATAGGGAGCAGGCGCAGGAGCGTTAACCTCCCCGTCATCATACCACACGTTAATGTACGGGTGCATCAAGGCTTCGTCCACTGATATCCTCTGGTCCGGATCCACCACAAGCATTTTCGATAGTAGGTCCCTGGCTTGACTTGCTGCAAGAGACAGCCATGCCAGGCAAGTGTTTAGGATTCGTCTGAGGGAATCCTCTCCGAAATACAGAATTTATAGATTATATACGCGCATAGAAGTCATTTTTTACATAGCTGATTGGCAACGCTAACCTGATTACAAATGAAAGAAATTTGTGTGCGAGTGAATACTAACACGTCTGCCTCACAGCAGACCAAAGAACAAGAATAAGTGAAGGTTGCTAATTATCACCAGATATCACCGATTTTTAAACGAATATTATCACTATATGTAAGTAAAGACTGTTGGACACTAGTGTACAAGAGAGTAGCAGTCTCTGGTTATACTTATTTTGCAATCAATAAATTTGACAAATGTAATTTGTGAGATTTATGATGAGCAAGCATGAGCATCACTGAAGCAGGCTGTGGCTGTCGATAAATTGCTACTCAGTAGTACAGATTTCATTCTAATAACTGCAAGTAATTTTTCTGAGGCCAAGCTGCCATGCTGCTGCAATATCTAGACAACACAATAGACTGTAAATCTAAAAGCTATACTTAACCAATTAAACGCAAATGTACTCTAACAGGACAGAAAAAAAATTACACACGTTTTATATATATATATATATATATATATATATATATATATATATAGTATAGAGAGAGAGAGAGAGAGAGAGAGAGAGAGAGAGAGAGAGCCGCATGAGACATCGACAGAGGTCAGAGGCCACGAAGGCCAGAGAGCAGAGAGACCAGAGCGACGAGTCGACAGAGAGAACAGAGTAGACAGAGAGACAGAGACAGAGACAGAGAGAGAGAGAGACAGAGACAGAGACAGAGACAGAGGCAGAGGCAGAGGCAGAGGCAGAGGCAGAGAGAGAGAGAGAGAGAGAGAGAGAGAGAGAGAGTGGAGGTAGAGTAACACTGTAATGCAGGAGCAGTAGGCAAGTGTACGTTTCGTGTCTGTCTTCCCTTTATAGCACTTTCATGTTTGCACGAACATGAGGCAGTTCTCTGGGCACCACTATGAAGACAAACGTACTACCCTATCTTAACTGTGCTCAATTTCTTGATGTTGGGAATTTTCGATAATGTTGGGAATTTTGTGCAAACATGAAGAAAGATGAAGAGAAACACCCAGTGTGTACAGTACCGAACAGTCTCCGCAAGCAGTCACTTAATCAGATTGGAAAGGTTTAGACTGGCTGAGGGTATTTGATCAAATCAATGTGACTGATAAAGATGCAAATGAATAGGACAGGAATGCATAGGTGGAAATGCGATTTAACTCTACAAAATGGACTAGACTATTGACGGCTAGCTAGTTTTCATAAATTATCACATAAATGAATAAGACCTGTGAGAGCTGGCTCTTGAGTTGGGTGTCATAGGAGAACATCACTCACGTCCCTTTCTGGTTCTTACCTTTGCTTCCCTTACCTTTGAGCCTGTTATGCTCGGTGCTCTCGGCTGGGAAGAGAACATCAGGGAATAGCCTTTCAAAGGTATATCCATTATATTTAGGTCTATTTTCTACGTAATTCCTAACAGTAGGTTGCAGCCGCTTCATGAACTCTGGATTCGGCGTTCCTAGCTGCTCAATAATTTTATTCCACTGGTCTATATCTGTGGCATCCAGGAATCAAGGAAGTGTTCACATTCATTGCGTGGATGCAGTGATACCACCAAATCCTATACCGGCATGAGAATATACAAATGGATACCCACAGGTTTGTTACATCTTACATTTGTGGTCCAGATACTACGCAGAAGAAGCCCCTCATGAATTGCAAGGTGGTGACTTGCTGGCGGAGATCAGCATGTGCTGATGGCACACAACAGAGCAACAATGCGGATCAATGCAGAGCGACAACAGTAAAACCCTAAAGCTGGCTTTTGTCAGCGAGTGTGACGCGTGTGTGGCGCAGGTGGCATGCAAACACAGAAAGGATACGATCTGTTCCAGGGAACATGACACTCCCGCGAATCATCTCGCCCATGATGCAGCCAACTGACCAGATGTCCACTGTCAAATAAAAAATATTCAGCACAGTCAACACCCTTTCATGCACATGCCTACATTGTAGTAATTGTACGTGTATCACTGCACGGCGTGCAAACAGTCAACCACTAGTTCGGTTTATAAGCTTAACGTCAGCTCTATAAATTGACTAGATTTACAACACTGCAACAATCCATATCTTAGAAATCCTATAATGCTACGTAAATATAATTGGAATTTTCACCACGACAGAGTAATTTTTGTCAGAATCCAGGTCAAAAGTAAGCTAATGTGAATAAAATTAAATTTTGGTAGGCAGAACAGACCATAAAAACAGATAACTGACCAAAACCCAAAGAGGTTCAGCAAAATTTTAGGAAATAGGTCGAGCACATACCATTTTCTTTGTATCCCATTCCTAGAATAACTTCTGGGGCTCTGTAGTATCGTGTGACAACATACGGCGTCATCATAAACGTTGTCCCGGCTGTTCGGGCCAGCCCAAAATCTAATATCTTTAATGTGCAATCAGACTTCACCACAATATTGCTAGGCTTTAAATCCTGCAAGAAAATAAACACCGACATCCTGTAATAATTGTTTCCAATCGCTGTTCACTACTGAAACAATAACAGAGATTGGAAGGATGAAGACATGTTCAACTTAACAAAAAGTTCAAGTTTCTTTCGAATTGTTAATCACAAAAGCAGGGTCAACATGAATTGCTTCTTAAATACATACTACAGGCTATGGCACAAAATGTAAACGGAATTAAAACCAACTTGAATCATAAGCATCCCTGAAAGAGCATAGAACACATACTATAATCATTGGTCTGGGCGTAGAAAAAAATGTCCCGTTAGGTAACTTACAGCTTGGCTGCAAAATTCATGATTGGCTTTGAGAATATAATAAAACTGTCATGGCCATAAATCTCTGAGCACCTGGGTATTCTCCGACCTTACTGCAAATATATGCATAGCCACTGGCAAGTCTAATCTCAACATTAGAATCACCTAAAGAGAGCAGTAACTGATGCACATACGGCTGCAGTAAGGTACAGTAATGCACATACGTATGCACATACATATGCAGTAACAGCTTGTACGGTAACAGAATGTTTCAAAGGCACTATTTTTGTGGTATATTACATTTTATAATCCTCAAAAAAAAACAGACTGAAATAATAGCAACTTAATTTAATGCGCAGTCTTTATCCCCCAGCAAAGTACTTGTCACACACATATATACAAGCTCATACACTGAAGCAAGATAGATAAGCACGACAAGCCCCTATAAGCATTCAGAAAAAAAAACTACCAGGGGCATGTACAACCAACAATGATGTTGTAAAGAATCATTGCACTGCAACCTACCCTGTGTATAATTCCAGCTGAATGTAGGTGCTTGATACCACAGAGCATTTGGTAGAGGAGATAGGACATTCGCTCATGGTCGAGATCCATTTGTATGACCTGACACAAGTTGGCATCCATCAGCTCCATCACTAGGTACCTGTACAAGCAGAGAAAACAATTAATTACCTCTATCCCCCATTACAAGATACTTGCAAACCCATACGGAACAATTAATAAGCTCCATTACTAGTGCAACCTACATTCACAGAGAACAGTCAGCAATGATGAGAGCAGAAATATATTTTCTTTCATATGTCTGGCCAGCCGATTGCCACTAAGGGTTGAACAAAGTGAAAGTTAACTAGTACTAGAACTATACTAAAACATAGTGTGCCACGGATCTGGAGTTAATAATCTGTTACATAGCAAGACTTGTACGATATAACATCGTACAGACCATTTATCCTAAAGATAAGACAGTAGTTCAGGAAGTCAACCTAGAGTGGTAGGTATAGCTACCTGATATAGTATATACCCTAACGATGCACATCAACGAGACAGGACGTATTGTCCAAAAGCCAGCCATGTGGTTTTAACCTGAATGGTGGAGTTGCTCACCCAAACTGTACTAGTGTATGTGCACATTTATGGTATAATTAACCAACAATACACGCATGCAATAGAAGATACTAACTATCTCCAGAACTATCTAACTATCTAAGAATACTGGTAAGGAATGGTTAATGCTTGCTACTGTAACTTACACATCTTGAAACTCTTCCAGAGACTTCTGTGGACTAAATGCATTCAACAACCCAATAATCTGGAAAGAAAAAACGAAATTTATTATCAACAATAGGCATGAAATAATAACAATTACATGGTTACAATATATTTTAATTATCATCCAAATAATGATTTAACAGCAAAAAATAATGTCACGTTAAATGTGCCAATTTTGACGTATGCCAACATGAGATGTAGTAGCTGCACTGTATACAATAATTACGTGAGCAAAAAATACTTTGGCACTCTCATTTAACAATACTTCGTCTGTTGGGGACAGTGGCTTAAATCCAATAGCATTTAGCCTGGAGCATGGATGTCCGAACGACTGACGAAATTCTGTCACTTCAGCTTTCATGTTTTATTTCCGAAACTAATCGTAAGTTGATAAGCCAAATGTCAAATGTAGAACCAAACTCACAACTCCATATAGTATTCCTGTTCCCACTGCTGCTGCCACTGTTCCCTTTCCATATTAGCTTGCCAATGTTACATGCTGTTACACACGATCCCAAAATAATCAATGGATTATTCCTTATTTTGAAGAAAGTGTATTGATTGAATTTCATCCGCAAGAATCTCACACTAAAATTTGTATAGACCTACCAGTCTGGTAAAACTATCATTTTTCAACGTTGAAGATCAAAATGTGTAATTGAATGTGTTCTTTCAGAAATATTCTATTAAATGTATATTGCGAATGTGCAGCAATAAATTGAATGGCAGTCGAATTGCTACCAAATGGAAAATTCCCAAATATACGTCACATGGCTCAAAAACACAATTCAACTCCCCGTTTTTTTTCAAACCCCCCAACGTTTCAAAAACTAAAGATCTTAACAGTGACTCATTCGGCAACAAACTAGAACAATTGTTCTGATCTGAGCAGGGTCAACATGTGTCCTTCGTTGGACTGTATGACTACTGTGAGTGTTGAGGGATCTTGTTGGAGCCCAATTTATATTAATTATTTACATAATAAAGAACTTTGGACAACTACAAACCGTGCCTTATATAAAACCAGATAGCAACGTACAATCCACACACTACTGACGACATCGTTCTTAGACGAAACTTTTTAAATCAAAAGCAGCCTTAACGACCGACTGCAAATTGGCCACGACCACCATAAACAGATTTGCACTTCTCCGTTAGAAAATGAAAGCAGTCACGTCGGAGGTTTCCGCGAGTACGGGCAACGATGATTGCACCTGTAACACAATTTCATGTGCACTCAACAATGGGAAATGTTCAGAGTTTTTTCCCGCCGTGCAGAACGGTCTATGATGCTCGGCCAGTGATTACCAGTCAAGGAAGAATCCATTCAATGCATTACTACTGTGTCTACGCACCTGGAATAATCCTACCCATCTACCTACCTACGCACGTGCAGAAGAAATAAGTCACAGTGCAAACCGAGTGATTCAATGACCTATGAGTGACCTATGAGTGACCTATGAGTGATTCAATGCTTATTTGATAGCAACTTCATTTAGAGGCAGAGCAGAATGTCTGGGCTACATGAGCATTACTAGCTCTTCTCTCTAGCCACAATAACCTGCATTTTTAGACATGCCTATTTCTGCATTTATAACCTGTTTCATTGGCAGCAGTTTGCGACTAACACAGTAGCATATATAACAAACTGATTCTAATGTGACTGCGTGATAGTAATGAATAAAAACAACCAGGGCAAAAAAATTTGACCCACGTATGCACTGTGCTTCTCACATATTTTTTGCGAGTAGGTTTTAGTGGTCAATTTTTTCTTATTTTTAGGACAGGGTAAGTGTTACTTTGGGTGCAAATCAAAAATTTTAGGGCATCATGGCAAGTTGGTGAAGCACCAAGATAGTGATTTCCTTATATAAAAGTTGTTAATGCAACTTACTTTAACAATACATTTTATGTGCGACAAAAAAATATAGATATATACACAACATGGAATTCATATGAAAAGCAGGGAAGCAAACCAGATTGGGCAGTTTATTTTGCTGTGGGTATTAGCCAATTTTCAGAAGCACCCTAGCAACTATATGAAGAGGATGCTGTGGAAAAGCTCTTGGGTTTGCTCGACCCGCCTCAGGGCGCGCACGCCGCATGACATACGTACGTTTTTGTGGTTGACGAGCTTCATGAGAACAAACTCTCTGTAAGCGCGTTTTGCGTGTGTGACGTTCTGGAAAGGGCGGCTCAACTTCTTGATGGCCACGTTCGTTGCCGTCACTGTGTCATAAGCAGCACTGCACAAAAAACAACAGAACATTAATGAAAAGGGGAACAGATATGAGACTGCCAATGCGACAAATCCCCGGCGGCATTCAAGTGCCATTATAGTTACATGTAATACAAACAGTCACAAAGATTGTGTCAGTGCCGCCACTCAGGATATTACAAAAAAAGTATCAAAATTGTCTAAAAAAAGTATTAAAAAAGTATAAATTTGTATCAACCTACCATAATTTGTAGTCACTTGTTACCCTATACCTTATTATCTAGTAAATTATAGCCTATGTGCAGCATGTAAACAAGCTTCAGGAATGATGTGTGCAACGTCTTGAGGAGTTGTCTCTTGAACCCTCAGTTTGGAATATATGCAATGCAGTCTCTTGGCCAGAAAAGTCTGTGAGGCGGTAAATTTGTGTGTGGTATTTGTGTGTTTCAAGGTCCTAGCAAAGCATGTGCTTGGCCAGCTAGCAGGGTCCGGGGGCATGCCCCCTCGGAAATTTTTTGAAAAAATGGGGCAATTTCGTGCATTCTAAGCTATTCTGGACACATTATATGAGACTCTTGAATCTCTTTTTAAAGTTGCCAGAAGTTCCGTCAGCGAGGCGGTGTTTTTGACAAATTTCAGTGTGGCGGCTGAGAATTTGAGCGAGGCGCCCTGCCTCGCTCGTGTCAATGCAGGGGAAACACTGCAATGCTCCGACATTTGGTCACTGACAGCAGAGAGCTGAGAGCAAAAACACTCCACTGAACAGAACTCCATCACTTCTGCAACAAGACTCTCAAAGCACATCTTTAATGTCCTCAAATATAGTGTACCTAAATGTAAGTCCGAAAAGTTTTGACCATCTTTGGTAAAAAAAAAAAACTACTTAAAAGTATTTATGCATGAAAAAAAGTATGAAAAAAGTATAAAAAGTATATTTTCTGAAAAAAAGTATAATACTTTAAAAAAGTATAAAGTGGCAGCACTGTTGTGTGTTTAGTAAGTACTATCACATGTATGATGTAGGTCAGTAGTCAGTAGTTACGTTGGCTGGTAGGTAATTATTTCTAATTGTCTTCAACAGTGATTAACCGAAATTCCAGCGAAACACTATATATATATATATATGTATATATAACAAATCTACAGAATCTATACCTCAAGATATATGCTTCCATGTTATATTTAACAATGCCTGGTAATCTCAGGTGCTTGGCAAGTTAACATTGATTAGCAATTGCAATATTTTTAGATATCTGAGTTCCTTTCATCTTACTAGTTTAGTTTAGTTACTTTACTCTTTATGTCTCTCTGGTGGGTTAGTAACTGACCATGCAGTTGTTAATCTATTAAAAATGAGATTCCAACTAGAAGCAAGAAAAAAATCATTTCACCACGCTTCACTCGTCCTTGTCAGTTAAACCGTGACACTGGACAGTTAGTTCGACCATAGGTTCGCCCAATAGTCCGCGCCAGAATAGTAGTTGCTGAAATCTACTCATTTGCGAGAAAATCTGATAGTTCTGGCCTATCTGAACACGATACAACTACGACTAGTCACGCACTGAGAGCTTGCTAGTGTAGCCAGTGTTTGGAGCAGTTGCCAGTGCGCCTGGCTGACGCGGGTATTAGCTAAGTCTATCGTGCTACAGCCTCTAGCATTGATCGCTCTCTCTCTCTCTCTCTCTCTCTCTCTCTCTCTCTCTCTCTCTCTCTCTCTCTCTCTCTCTCTCTCTCTCT